GATGTTGTTCTGCACTTCATCAACGTTCTGCACTTTTTGACTATAAACTTAAAGCTGCAGGAAGGTTAACGTCATACGATAATGTTGTATGAAAGCAGTTTAGGTCAAAAAAGAGCAAGCTCCGCAAATACTGACAAAACCGGTATTGATGAATTCAAAGTAGTATAGTAATAAGAAACAATATAATGAAAAATTTCTGCCGGAGCTGACATGACATTGTTAGACCAAAGGCATCTTTTAAAACCCACCTATAACTTAGATAGCTTGGCTGGATGTATAGCACTCAATATATTCCTAGATGATCAGATTTTTAATTGTTCCGATTTTTGCAAAAAAGTTGACCTCATATAATATTATTGTACGAAATCAGTCTTCATAAAAAAAACCAAGCTCTGCAAATAATGAGAAAACAGGTATTGATGAAAAAGAAGGTGTATGCTATACTATGTATTTAGCAAGATTTCAGCCAAGTAAATCTTTTGTAACATGGCAACAGTTTGGAGAGCTTGGTAAAAAAGGTTCATTATATATTTCGAGAGTTTGGTTGAAAAGCTTCTCTATATAATCCTGGATTATTATATTTTTAATTATACTGATTTATGTAACGTAATTTTAGAACACTGGAGACTGAAAATTAGATTTCTGTACTAAGGACCAGTTTTTCAGTGTTCGATATTAGCCACTAAACTAATATTTAAAATTCAGACATACTATGTATATCATTTTGTGCCAAATCGGCACTTAAGCGGGAATTATTAAATAGGCACTAAAGGTATTTATTAAGAAATAGCAAAAGGTTTTTAAAAATATGGTCTAATTATGGGTTTATAAAATGATTTTTGGTTTTGTTTGTTGATTGTAGTGCCAGGCCATCAGATAACTTCTCATGTATCTCAATTAACGACTTTTCGTATTCTTCTAAGATAGAAGAATACAGACTAAATTCATACCCCTGAATTTAGATAATTCAATACGTTTTTCGTTTTTACCAATGAACAGTTTGATAAGCTCTTAAAGAAATATCTCTCTAAGAACCTATTTTTTCTAGACGCTGAACCCGGGCATTCACAGAGGAAGTTTTTAATGGTTTTTTCCGAAACTGAGGGTTATGTGAGGGTGAGGGTTATGAGAAACGCAGAGTTTCTCTGCGTGGGTTCCTATTTATCAATGACAGCAGTAAGTCAGTTTTTGGCATAAATTGAATTTTGAATGGAACAATTTAACTTTGATATGGGTTTCGTGCAAAATTATTAATAAAATTATGTTATAAGTGTCACAAAGGGAGGAAGGAGGTGAGCAAAACCATTGCTATTTCTGGAAATATTTTAGAGGAACTCTTTTACAATACTATTTTTAACAAAAATAGTAGAGACGTAATTTTAGAAGAAAATTAGTCTTTATTCTAATTTTCCATCTTCAACTTCATTAGGCACCACAGCATTTTTAAAGTAGCCAAAGATCATATGCACACATTATATAAATTAATTTAAATTAAATTAACTTTAATTATAATTACTATAAATAAAATGAACGTATTATTCTTAAGCCAATATCAATTAAATCTTATGTATATCCGTTTGCATAAAGTACTTATATGATTATAATTAATTTGATATCTCATTTATGTTAACCCATATAAAGAATAATAGATTGTTTGGCATCGGTGTGGTAAAATTCATAATAAAACAAAAAGCAAAAAAAAAATTATATCACTCCAGACGAGTACATTTGTTCTGCTAATTTGGTTTCCGCTAAAACCAAAGAAAGCACCACAAGCAATGCTCTATTAATGAAATCTCAAATTGCATTTTCAAAGACGACGGACGCATTCTGAGCAGACTTACACCTTTGCTTTGTCTGTTGTTTAGTAGGTGCAAAGTTCATTGTTTCGTTGCGTATTTTTGCAGACAGACTACGAGACAAAAATAAAAAAAAAAAAAGATAAACAAATAAACACTTCAGAAAATGTGTAAGAGTAGTCTAGTCGCATTATTTTCGCGTCACACATTGCGTATACGCAACATTTCTGTTACTGGTTTCAATTAGCGTTACAAATGCGTAAATTGCAAGAATAATTCACACGCACTTGTGTATCGACGCGTGAGTCTGTCTGCTTATGTATGTGAAAGGCGTCTGGAGTAACTGGAGTCAGTGGATTCAGTGGATTCAGTGGAGTCACACACCTGTAATGCGTCGCTGGTGCTTGTAATGTTTACAAAAGCCAAATGCTTCAATAACACATGAAGCGCA